GTTTTTGGAGCACACCGGTCTACCTATTTGTTTTTGGAGTGTTCCGGTCTACCCATTTGTTTTTGGAGTGTTCCGGTCTACCTATTTGTTTTTGGAGCGTTCCGGTGTACCTATTTGTTTTTTGGAGCATTCCGGTCTACCTATTTGTTTTTTTAGCATTCCGGTCTACCCATTTGTTTTTGAAGCATTCCGGTCTACCTAATTGTTTTTGGAGCGCTCTGGTCTACCACCATACTGCCTTTTACCCCTGATCAGCTGTAGCTGTACCTTTGAAGCGCCACAGCAAGAGTTTAAACAGTTTTTTGCCACTCTGTCACCACTGAGAGCACCGGAAACCACTTTCAGGCAGCTTGGCCTCAATTGCCAATCTACCACCAACCCAGCAGTTTACAAGGATCGGTTCTAGCCAATCAGTGGGGAGGCTTCTTGGCTTCTCAATTTAAAGCTAAGGCGTCTTGTTTTTTTCTCTCTCTCTCTTCTTTGTCAAGTGAGCCCTGATTTTTTCCTTCTAGCCGATCAGCTGGGACTTGGGAGGCAGAGAATAGATTGGGGGCAGGGCCAGGCAGAGGTGGTATTTACCGGTTCTCCGAACTACTCAAAATTTCCACTACCCATTCGCAAGAACCGGGGAGAACTGGTAGCAACCCACCACTGGGTCAACCTATTCTCCAAAGTACCTGAAGGCAGAAAAAGAAGCAATGGATGCGATCATCAGGAGACTGTGAGCTCTAATCCCACCTTAGACATGAAAGCTGGTGGGTGACTTTGGTTTAATCCCGCTCTCTCTCTGCCCAACTCACCTCACAGGATTGCTGTTGCAGGGAAAATAGGAAGAAAGAGTATGTTCATCACGTTGAGTTATTTATAAAAATAATAAAATAAAGGTGGGATTTAAAGAATCTTAAAAAGAAACACAAACAAATATTTGGGATAATAATAGAAAACACTACGGAATGAGGAGCCATGACATTCTATGTTTCATTATGTCTTTTGGTGCACATTTCTGAGTCATTGCTTTAAGTATGGTTAATTCTTGATTACAATGTTGTGTGAATATGGTTTAGAGTTAATACATAGTGCTAAACCATGTTTAATCACATTTTATTGAATAAATCCCAGGTGACTAGACTCATTAAGTTATAAACATTGCACCGAAAGCAATGCCACGGTTCAAAAGCAAGCTACGTTATAGCAATGTGTGAACCCAGGAAGCTCCAAATAAGTTATATGCAAACAATGTGCAAATAAATCAGGTCAAGTAGAATTCATTTAGTTAACATATTAATTAATCAAATTAATTCAAGAGGCACAGAAGAGGCTGTACTTCCTGAGAATGCTCAGGAAGATAAATCTATCTCAGCATCTACTTTTGTCCTACTATCGCAGCACCATTGAGAGTGTCCTGACATACGGCATTCTTGCATGGTATGGGAGCAGCTCTGTAACGGACAAAAAAGCTTTACAGAGAATCATTAAAACTGCTCAGAATATCATCGGACTCCAGCTATCAGCCCTGGATGACATTTCCGCATCTCGCTGTTTGAGGAAGTTGCACAACATTCTCAGAGACTCTTCCCATCCTGCTTACAATCTTTTTGGACTGTTGCCTTCTGCAGAAGATACAGAACAATTAAAACTTGGACCACACATCTGAATTTTGAGTTTTTATCCCAGAGCTATAATTGCACTCAACCATGAACTAAAGGGCCACCATCAGTGAGCTGTTGGACAGCATTACTTGGTCTGTTGTGTGGATGTTTGGGTGGCTTAGGGGTGGGGAATTTGTGGTGGGTGGGAGTGTGTTTGGGGATTGTTATGTGTGTTGGACCTGGTCTTTGGGTGTTAAGTGAATTTCGTTGTATGGGTATACTGTGTACAATGACAATAAAGTTGTTGTTGTTGTTGTTGTTGTTGTTGTTGTTGTTATTATTATTATTATTATTATTATTATTATTATTATTATTATTATGCCGTGCTCTCACTATATGCTCAATCAGGTTAGTCAACATTCTAGTGTTGGCATTTGTACAACATAGTAAGGTTTTTTTTTAAAATCATTTTGCACACTACTTGAGAACAGCCACTTTGGTTAGTTTATGTTTCAGTATATTATGAGAAGCCTAACATTTGTTTCATTCAGTAACTTGTCCATTGTATGAATGCACTCTAAAGGTTGCCCAATAAGATAGTTCAGTTGCCTTTCAAATATATATTTTATTTTGCAAAGAAAAAAAAAGTATACAATTTTAAAGACAAAATCCCCAATCTTTCATACCAACATGACAGTTCTTTCTTGGTAAGATTCCTCAATATTTTCCAATCCAGCCATTAGGAAACCTGAAGTCCTTTTTTAAATTATATTTTCTCATGTATTTTTGGGCTCAAGAATGATATCCCTTTCGGGAATCTCTTGTTGCAACCGTTTCCTTGCTTGAAAGGGGAACGCTTAGAAATATAGAGCAAATTTACTTAGCCTGGAAAGTAAGCATGATCATATTGTAAATAAACCTTTCAACTACTTTGTTGAAGAAAATTTAACAAAGAGGTTCTTCGGACAGAAGCGGCAGATCTGTTTGTATCTCATCCCACAGTCTCTGAAACTCACAGCTGACCACAACAATAGTCCAATCCACAACAAGCTGTGAAAAGCAAAGCAGAGACCTCCCTGTGCTCATCTTTTTTTTATAAAAATAAATAAATAAATCTGCATCTAGATTCACCATCTGCTAGCCCCTCCACAGAGCTGAGATATCATGGGGAATTTTGAGCGTGGGGTGGAATGGAGAGTGGCAAGACACAAACCCTCTCTTCATCATACACATTTTTCAGTGGCAAAATTTTGGTAACACGGAGTGTCCAGGGGAAGGTGTGGGAAAACAAGGTTTGTTAATAATAGGCTCACTCCCCTATACGCACAGAGATAGGGTAGTAAAATCGGTACAATGGAAGATGTTCCATTATTTTATACCTAGGCTGCAGTTATTGATTATAATCAGTATTGCTTACAACTGTACAAGAATACATAACTGAACCAGATTGGATCCTGCAACATATATATTCACCTTCATTTGTGTACAAGAATAGTTATTTTGAACTGAGAATAATTATTCAGGATTAAAAGCATGCAAAGTTCCACCTGTAGGAACAAAGTTATTACTATATTTCAAGCTGTGCATATCTCTATATTTCTCTGCAATCCTGCAATCACCTTTTTTTTTTGGTCCTGTGTTATTCCCTTTTCAGTTTAGAGTTGTCCGTTCTAGTTAATGACCGTTTTTATTTGATTTATTAAATTTCTTGTAAGGTTTGGGACTGTAAATCATTTGCAAAGCATCAAAAGCTGGTTGGGAGAAAAAAAAGGAAATTTAGGCATATACGTATGACAAAATAAAAGCGATTATATCTGACGTCGAGAGACAATGTTAAATGCAGGACATAAGGTGGTTCAATCAATTTATGTTTGATGGCTTGATGGTTTTTAATCAAGCATTTTGACTAAACAAGTTTGGGGACAAGGTTTATAGATTTTTACAGCCTATTTCCAGAAAGTGAACTCTGTTTTGAGACTGTGGAAAAGTATATTTTGCCTATTAAAATATTTTAGGGAATATAGAAGTTGGCTGTGATAATATGTGGAGGCCTGCTGAAATATTAATCCGGATGGAGTAATAGTAAAAATACATATATCAAAATAATACCAAAAGCAGGAATGACCTTATCTTGATCTGAAATTTTCTTAAATGTGTCAACCAATATTTCCTATGAAAAGTGGTGTTTCTTAAAATGGCTAGCATTTGCATTATAACATCTCAAGTATATTCCTTGTTATTTACAGTAGCCATATAAGTCTCTAAAATAATAATTAATAATCAACCAAAAGGAATGCAGGATGGTGCTCTAACTACAGAGAAGGGATAAAGAGAAGAAAAACTCAAGAATTTATTCTATTCCATACGACTGAAAACTACATTTTTAAAAAATGTGCTGGTGAATGGCTTAAAAATGCCTCCAATACAAGATAAAGCGAATAAATCCTCAATATGGAAAGGAAAAATAGGTCACGAGGACACATCAAACCTATTTATACTCACTTGTACTTCATTATAAATAAAAGTTTACAATTCTTCCTGTTGTTTTCGAGCCCTTCTACAGAGACAATAGTTTGCTCCATGTTAAAGTGGTTTGTTAGTGGTGCTATATAAATGTGCGAGATATTTCATGGATAGTATCTGTAGCAGCTGATGGTTGCGTTGAAAGTAGAAGTTGGGGGGAAACATTACACGCACACAAAAATAAACCCACGCACCCAACTATATTTCCAGACTCATTGTTAATGCTTACTATATACAACCCTAGGAAAAGCTGGTATTATTTGCAAGTTGAAGCCACCTTTACTCCGCTTTGAAATAAGCTCATCCGCAATCCACCTTGTGCAAGTCTGACACTTTTACCAAACCGGTTGTAAATATTCAGATTTTTCTCCCTGCTGTCACACTGAAGGTTATCTCCCTGGTAGCGACAGGGGAGGGGAAAGGGAGGGGGGGGGTAAATTCAGGTGACAGCCATTTCCCGTGATGCTTTAAGGGCTGTCAAGCTGTCCATCAAGTTGTCACCTGACCAATCACTGCCACGGTTCTTTTCGACTCTTCCTATGACAAATTGAAAGGCGCTATTATCTGCCAGGGGGGTGAAAAGGAACTGCTTGAGTTTTGATAAGATATCAGTAGTCCCAGGTGAGAGCAAGCTGACAGCACATCAAGACAAGACAACACATGGCAACACTGAACATAGCAGCCGCTTAGTTTACAAACATCTGTTGTCATTATTTATTACCCTTTCTCCCAGCTTTTATTTTCTAACGCTGGGCTAGGCTTCTTTAAAAGCAGACACTCTGTTTCCCATTAACAAGGCAGAGAGGATGCTATTTTTGCTGGGGGAAAGAAAAAAAAGGGGGGGGGGAAATAGAACGATAGCACAGTCATCTCTGTGAATCATCTTACCTTATTTGGAACAGCGCATGCTGCTAAGAGTCTAAGGAGTCACATGGTGGATTTATCTTCCAAGATTGCTCCGCACGTTTTTTTTGCAGACACCAGAAAGCCTAAAAAAAAAAAGATAGAAAGATTGCTATTATTTCCTTTCCGGGCCTGTAGGCTCTGTAATTAACGCTAAGGCTCAGGTTTCTATTACAGGCTTACTTGCCCAACCTTTCCTCATTCGTAGCTCTCTCTGTAGCCCGAGCTCCCAAATTTATCTTTGCAGCTCCAGCTGAAAACAATGTGTTTGTTAATTACGGTGAGGTTGTGACAATGGTAAAACGTAGTTGGTTGCTAACATCCCCACCTTGTGTGCAAATTCTTTCTTGCATGCGGTTTTGTAATGTCATGGAAGAGGTAAGGTGGTAATCATAACGTTTTCGATACTGGTAGGTGTTGCTTCTTTGGGGAACTTGTTGTGTTATTTAGAAAAAGAAGAAAATAGGAGGTGAGGGAGAAAGAAAAAGAATAGTCATCACCCAGAACTGCACATGGTTCAGTGCAGAACAGTGCAATTTAAGAGCAGAGAGCAAAGGGAGATTGGATTCATTTTGTGACTGGGCCATTAAATGATAACTCACAGAGTTTTTCTATACCTTGCATCAACCCCAAACTCGATATTTTTCAATGGAGAATAATTTGCATTTTAATTGAAAGTGGATTGATAAAGGATCATTTTTGAACCATTTCTACTCAGTAGCACGTCCTGGTTAGTACAGCAGGTATATAGATTTTATACTTGTGAATAAATGCCACATGGGGATGTTATGAATCACTTTGTATTGGGCTAAACATTATACCAAACTCCCTCATCCCGACTACTGTCTGATTTTAAAATTAAGGGATTGATGGGGTTTGTGTATTAGGTTAATCTGGTTTGCTTAACCATGAAGGCGCAACAAATAGCTACTCTGTTTCCCCGAAAATAGGACCCAACCGGAAAATAAGTCCTAGCATGATTTTTCAGGATGCTGCTAATATAAGCCCTACCCCAAAAATAAGCCCCACTTAAGATTGTCAGCCAGATGGATGCATTTAGTACCGTATTTCCCCAAAAATAAGACCCAACCAGAAAATAAACCCTAATGCATCTTTTGGAGCAAAAATTAATATAAAACCCGGTCTTATTTTTGGGGAAACACAGTAGGTTCATCAAAAATCTTAGGCAAAAATCAAAGCAGTTATATTATGGTTTAGTATGTTTATATATAGAGAACATCAATGTGAAAATCTTCATAACATCTTGCAAATTGGCTAGAGAAACCTGGATTATTATATCACCATAATTCAAAGAACATTTCCCGTTATTTAACAGCCTCATTGCTCCAAAATAGGGACATAGCATTATTCTTTCCTGGTATACTCAAATGATTAGATTACTGATAAAGTAGAACTTGAGGGGCATGGGTTTAATCCCCACTCAAACATGACATTTACAGGATGATCTTGGGTATATATTATCTTGCCATTTTAAGGAGTGTTCAGTCTGCTTCTGTCAAGTGCAAAAGATCAGGACCGTATATTAAGTTCCAGCACAGAAGATTTACTCAAGTCTATACGCAAGAATCAGTCAACTAGCAGTGAGCACTAAATTGGCACTAAATAAAGGTCAAAAGAAATCACGAAGGATCATTTGTAGCAATGTAAGGACTCTAAACCGATGACATGTTTAACTCTGCCCTCTAGGTCTGCCTGCTTCTCAACATCTTGTCTATTTCTGAGCTGAAATCAGCATTTACTTTTTGAGTTTTGCTTTTACAGTCCTGAATTTCTTGGAGTCAAGTAACTTAAAGACCACCTTTTCTCTCAACAGGAGTGGGCACTAAGACAAACTGTGGACGTCCACCTCTAAGGTGCCAGTCTTGTCAGTACAGAGCATGTAGTAAATAAGCAAATTCTGAAATAGCCTTCCAAAGTTGTTCACCAGACTGCTTTCCTGTAGAAGCCAGGTAAGGCCAGGATGAGCCCGAGGGAGGAGTCAAACTCATCATTAGTCATGAGTCCCTTCATGCCCACAAGACATCTAAATCCAGCCCACCTGAATTCTGTGGACTCTTTATCTACTGCCAATTTGCTTTGATTGTCAGTAGTTCAGATTCTTGTAGAGAGCTTAAGCTTGACATTAATCTTTATACCCATTTGAACTGCCTGGATCTTCTGATTTCCCTGGCTCTTGACAGTTTGTTCTTGAAAGAGATTGTATTGATAACGGGCAACATTATTAGAGATTTGGAAGGTCCAATCTGCTGTACCCAGGAATATGCTTTCCAGGAATTCCCCCCCCCCTCTTTTACAGCCCAGCAGACTATTTAAATCAAATCATTGTTCCCAACACAGATATTTAATTTGATCTGAAACAGAAGTTATTTAACTATTTTGTTAGCCTGCCGAATTCTAGTCAAGGACTGTAATGAATATCTTCATGTTCACTGGACATTTGTACCAATCTGGCAAAGTGCTCCAGAAAGATGTAAGTTCAGGAAGAAAGGCTGCTGAAATGTAATGCAAAAATCAGATAGTTCACATATTGTACATCCATTTTGTCATCTAGGATAAGTGTTTCAGGTCAGTTAGAGGTTCCGCTACTTCTTAACTGAATTGCAATACATACAGTAATTGCTACCGTGTTTCCCCGAAAATAAGACCCTGTCTTATATTTTTTTGAACCCTGAAATAAGCACTTGGCCTTATTTTTGGGGAGGTCTTATTATTTTGGGGCATGTGGAGGAAACCAGAGGAAATGGCAGGGACTGGCTGCGTATGCGTTTAAATATTTTCAGGGAGGGCTTATTTTTGGAGGGGGCTTATTTTAGTGCATGCGCTCAAAAGCCCGATTGGGCTTATTATCAGGGATGTTTTATTTTAGGGGAAACAGGGTAGGTATATACATTACATTACACTACACTACACTACACTACACTATACTACATTTATTTATTTAGTCATGTTTATGTAGTGTTTGGGGGATGCGGTGGCTCAGTGGCTAAGATGCTGAACTTGTCGATCAAAAGATCGGCAGTTCAGTGGTTCAAATCCCTAGTGCTGCGTAAAGGGGTGAGCTCCCGTTACTTGTCCCAGCTTCTGCCAACCTAGCAGTTTGAAAGCACGTAAAAAAAATGCAAGTAGAAAAATAGGGACCACCTTTGGTGGGAAGGTAACAGCATTCCGTGCACCTTTGGTGTTTAGTCATTCCGGCCACATGACCACGGAGACGTCTTTGGACAGCACTGGCTCTTCGGCTTTGAAACGGAGATGAGCACTACCCCCTAGAGTCAGGAACGACTAGCACATATGTGTGAGGGGAACCTTTACCTTTACCTTTTTGTAGTGTTTATTGGGGGTGGTGACCCTTTGAGAGCTATATGCAACAAAATTTCATTTTTTAATGTATGCCAATTAGTGTACATTCAAAGTGACAATAAAGTTATTCTATAACTCTGGGGATCTGGCCTAAGTCCCCCTCATTTAGCACGGTTGCGAGTTTGAACATTTGCTGAATGAGGAGTCATAATTCAAGGCTCACCTGTATCGACGCATTCAAATACAACTGCACAGTTTGCGTCATAGATGTGTAATACAGTGCTCTTACAACTTGGGCTGCGAAATCATGTAGGTAGAAGAAGCAAATAAAAATAAAAATAAATAGTCTAGCAATTCTCTCCAAGGTAAGGTTCATTCCTCATCAAATAACTACAGATTAATTTACATAACTGCGATGCTCTGCAAGTTGAGAGGTGTTGATAAAATAAGCAGAGACTCAAATCCAGCTTCAGAACTCAGAAGTACAGAGACGCAACCCCAAAGGTTAAAAGCTAGCGAAGCAAGCCCTATTCTACAGGGAAACCTGGAAGCCACGAAAGAAGCAAATCAATAAATGGAATTTTAATAGAGATAAATGGTCATGAATGGCTTTCAATTATGCAAAGTCTAGTTTTCAGTGCTGCACTGGTCATAATCCTCCCTCTGAGAGGTAAGAAGGAACATTATGTTTTGTTACAGAATTCAAACATAATGAGAAACTTTGAACCATGAGCCAAACCAAACCAAATCTTTTTCTTTGAGCTCATTATTAGAGCCTTCGTGTAATAATGCTGGGTTTGATCCAGGCGTAGGCAGCGGGGCTTATACACGGGCCTGGGCCCAACTGATTAATCCAAACAAATTAAAATTCTCACTTGACGAAGAAGGAGACTTCTGCTTTTTCTAGTAGCTATTTTGACTTAACACCTTAGGACCAGTTGCCATATTGAGAGAGAGAGACAGTCAGAGAGAGAGAGAATGAGAGAGAGAATGAAAATATAAGAGAGAGAGAGAGAGAGAGATTATAGATGAAGTAGATCACAAGAGAAAGCAAAGTTGATAGAATTAGTGATGCAGAAGCCAGTGTGCCTTGTTGTATAATGGAGACACACAACTTCCGAAAATGAGAACAAAGATGCCCAGTCCCAATCATATCCTAATTTATAATTTCCTTTCCTCTATTGTGAAGCCATTTGTAAATTAAAGGTTAGTCCTGAGTTGAGGGAGGACCATTCTGTTTCTGAGGTGTTACATGTTTTTGACACTTCCTTCTCTTCTTTGCTTTTTATTCTTCTAGATGTTTTATTATTCTAGATGTGTTCTTCTGGTGTTACATGCAAAAACAAATAACACCAAAACAACAACAACAACAACAACAAAAAGCCAGTTGCCATACTGAGAGAGACAGAAAGACAGAGAATGAGAGAGAGAGAGAATGAAAAGAGAGAGAGAGAGAATGAGAAAGAGAATGAGAGAGAGAGTGAATGAAAATGGAAGACAGAGAGAGAGAGAGAGAGAGATTATAGATGAAGTAGATCACAAGAGAAAGCAAGAGAGAGTGAATCAGTCATTGGAACATGTGTGTAAAGCTAAATTTTCACCTATAAAAAAAAATCAAATCCTGTCGAATAACTGAGTAATATTTCGCAAATAATTCTAAAATGGTGCCTAAAAAAAAACCTTTTAGTTTTAGTGCTGAAAGATTATGGCTGCTGAACGTCAAGTGGATGCCTCAGCAAATCAATGGGATTTATTTTATTTATTT